GAGAGAGAGAGAGAGAGAGAGAGAGAGAGAGAGAGAGAGAGAGAGAGTGTAACTGGTTGCCATGGTGAGGACGCACCTGGTGTTAGAGGCAGACTGATTAAGAAACGTTGCAGTAATCAGTGATTTTGAACAAAACTCCTGCCTCTTTTTAACAAAAAGCAGGAGTCTGAGTGCCAAAATATGGATACCGTGAGAAAGATAAGACTCTGCCGAACTCGCTGATGTGGTTTTTAATTGTTGTGGTGTTAAAAATGTGAGCTCCAGAGCAATATACAAAACTGGTACCGTCTGCTTTCTTTGAGAAATTACTGGTGAGATTAAATCTGACCACTAATTCTCTACGTCAATATGGGCCCAAAGTTAAGTGTTTTGTGGCTCTCTTTACAGCCTTGTTCCACCAGCCACACTGAATATTATTCAGTGAATATTATTCAGTGTGGCTGTGGAACATGTTCTAGGTAGGGCTGTGCCACATCCAATCAATCTCAGCAAACATCCCAGTATGATTTAATGCAAAACAATTAAGGTATCAAACACGCATTACTACTTTGCAGTTAAATATTTAACTTTTATTCCAACATGAAAAAAAGCAGAAAATAACACTTTGATAAACACGTCAAGACATCTTATTTTTGTCACCCTCACAGGGAATTCAGTATAATATAATAATATATATCATATAATATGATATATATTCAGTATAATATCAAACACACACACATACATATATATATATATATATATATACAGTATATAGCTCACCGAGTGCATTGGTGACATCATCTGCCATCAGTGTGTGAATGTAAATAGTCTGAGGCTTCAGCCCCCCTAAAATAGGCCTAACGACGCCCCTGTGTGACTGGTTATTGTGAGTTTGTTCTTGTCATTGTGTTGATTACATTGATATTTGACTCTCTGTTTGGGCTTTTGTTTTCTTTAACAAAGCAAGAATGATGGTCTGGAGAAATGGGGATTGTGAGGTGATTGCTTTATAAGCAGATATCATATTTTACACATATTACTGGGTACATTCCATAGTTCAAAAACACAAATATTGACAATTTGTATAATTTATGATTATTATAATTATTATTAGGGCCCAAGCACCGTCGGAGCGGAGGACCTATTGTTATTCGATTGTTTATTATTATTAGGGCCCAAGCACCGACGTAGTCGGAGCGGAGGACCTATTGTTTTTCGATTGTTTATTATTATTAGGGCCCGAGCACCGACTTAGTCGGAGCGGAGGGCCTATTGTTTTTCGAATGTTTTTTCTTATTCTTATTCTTATTTTTGGTGTTTCGTCGCAAAAAGGAGGTGCTTGGGATACTGGGAATTTTGTGAAATTTGGCACGCAAGCCAGAATTTGCGAAAATTGCAGTCTGATTGGGGTGTCCAGCTGCGGTATGAAATATTGGCTTGGGTTTCACCTAGCTGTATGAAATTTGGTAAGTATGTGGATCGTGATGGGACGTACAAAAAATCCTCTTGGAATTTTTCTCAAAATCAAACAGGAAGTCGGCAATTTTGAATTTTATGACGTTTTTGGACCGTTTCAAGGCGTCGTACTTTAACGAACTCCTCCTAGAGATTTAACCCGATTGACTTCAGTATGCTCTTGAGACTGATGTAACTCAACTCCACATCATCAGATCTTTACCAGATTTCACATGTTTGATTAGACTCCAGGCCTGAAGACATCTACAGGCCAATTTTGAATCATAGTCATAGCGCCACCTACTGGTAACAGGAAGTTAAAGTCTTTATACTTTGGCTTGTTTCTCTTAGTAGGTAAATCAAATCAATATCAAATTAGTTCCACACAAATGTAAGAAGTTCATAATGCCAGTCCATGAAGCTTTTGATGTTTCGTCGAACGCCGTTGCCGTGGCGATGCAGTCTTCGCCGTTAACAACGAAGGTCATTTTGAGAGGCTAAAAATGCTCGAAACATAAGCAAACTTGGCAAGCAGATTACAAGCCCGAAATGTAGTTATAGAATATGATTTTATTGGTTCACAGTGGCAAATTGGCTCAATAGCGCCCCCTACAAAATTTCGACGAAGCAGCCCTCGCAGTATGTTTGACCTAGATGTATGAAATTTGGTAGGAACATGTATCACATATGGACTTAAATAAAAGTCTCTTGGGGCCATGCTCTAAACCCAACCGGAAGTCAGCCATTTTGAATTTTGTATGAATTTCTCATGTTTTTTTTCCATTTCCAGGTGCTGTACTACAAACTCCTCCTAGGGAATTAATCCGATCAGCTTAGAATTTGGTCAGAACAATCTAAAGACCTTAGCGATTAAAAGTTACTGAAAGCTTTAGGTTTCATCGAACGACGTGGATATGGTGTGATGGCCATTTTACATGGTTCGCCATCATCCATCAAGCTGCAGGGAGTTGAACACTGCAGGGAGTTGAACCCCATCCCAGTAAACTGACAGTCTGTTCTGTTACAAACACTGAAGCACATTCACGCACATTCATTTTCTTAATGATCTTTAAAGGCTTACATTTATGACTGTATCTGATGTACACTCAAAACATTTGAGGCTTAAGACCTGGCAACATGGTCGACGCAGGAAATATCATCTAACTCGTGCACGCAGTGTATGATGGTCACAGAAATTCATGGCCGGATCACCCAGAGCCCTGCCAGTACCAGGAAATACCGTTTAACTCGTGCACGCAGTGTATGACGGTCACAGAAATGCATGGCCAGAGTCCTGCCAGTACCCTCGCCGTGCATGAAGTTGCAAGGGCCCGATCAATGCTGCTCGCAGCTTTAATTATTATTATTATTTTTTTTGTGTGGCTCAAGGTGGGGCCATGCCCCATTGCCCTCTATTGACCAGCCGCCACTGGTTACACCCCTAGAAACAAATAACAAGCGTAGCTGAGGCATCATAATGAGGTTATTAGGAGATGGTTCAACTGTAGTAGGACAGCTCTGAAGGCTCAGGTATAAAACACACCGCCCGCCACTGATAGCTATGGTCGTCGGCTACGACACCCAGTGTCAGACAGTTAATATGGGGCTGGTTTTTAATGTGTAGAGCCCCCAGTATTTTTAACAATAACAATCCTGACCAATAAACGGAGATATGCAATACATTACTTGGAAACTAAGTTCCATTTTTTGATAGAGAAATGCAGCTTTGTGCAACAGTAGAATATACCAATGAATTGTGAAGGCTACATGGGAGCAGCAGTGGGGGGACTTGGACTCCCAGCTGACATCCTGATAGACTGGGTCCTGGTATTACTGTAGACTATGTGACATCACTGACAGGAGAATTCACTGCCCCCAGTCTCCCTCACCAATGCAGGCTTTGGATTATTACATTCATAATTGGAAGTGTGGCCTTTTGATTCATAAAACCCAGCTCTCATCTCTCCGTGTTCTGCTCCAGTGAGCAAGGTGCAAACATATCAATAATCCACAGGAGGAAATATTACTCATTACTCATACTCCTATCGACAGTGACAACCACGCTTGGCATTAATGGCCTGCAGCTCCAACATGTGTAATGTTGATACATGGAGCAGAAAGTGCTTATGGCAGCTGTTTTAATTCACCAGTATTCACACTAGCGCCCTCAATGAAAGGAGCAGGATCGATCGGCTCTCCTCACCGCCTCCGTGTCAACAAATTGGCGTGACCTATGGCTGCTGGCATCATGAAGGAGCGCGGAGCTCAGCCGGTTCCCCGCCCAGGCCCAGAGGATATAAATACAGGGAGAGGATGCACCGGCAGCAAGAAGCCCCGACCTCTGCCTCTCTCATCCTCTCTGCTGGACACCAGGCTCACAGGATCCACCACACCATGAAAGTAAGTAGAACGTACTTTAATCAGAATAACCTGAATCACCTAATGCATGTTTCTCCTACCTGCAAAAAAGATTCTGATAAAACATGATAGCTCTGTAAAAATAAGATTTTATTTTATTTTATTTCACCGGACTGCAGATGAAAAACATTTTTTTCCAAACAAGCATCATGTCTTCAGATCTCCATCAGATACTCTTTTGCACTTAAGTTTCAAAGTTAGTCGGTGAATGTAAAGCTTGGTCTGCCTCTGAGGTGCTGGTACTAATCCTGAATGAACGCGTCTGTCCCCATGTGTCTTTCTCCTCCACAGGGTCTGAGGACCATCACAATAACTTCTGTCCTCACGCTTCTCCTGCTGGCGTCGTTTATCTCGCAGTCGTGGAGCGCCCCAAAGGTAAAGCAGATGCTCTTCATTCAACCACTGCCTCAATACTAGAGAATAAAGAAAGAGAGCTCAGCAAGTGGAGCACGGATTGTTAGCTCACAGGAGAGCAGGGTTACAAAGCAGAGAATACAGAGTTGTTTCTTGTTAAAGGGCTCTTTCCAGCGGAGGAACTGGACCCCGCAGGCAATGCTGTACCTCAAGGGCACTCGTATGTATTTGCCTCATGAAGTGTGTGTGTACATGGAGACCCCAGTGTTCAATATTAGATACATCAATACTACAATATGAAATGAATAAACACAGACACACATCTTTTTTGGATTAATTTTTCTGTCTTTGTCCATCAATCACTTCTGTTCACGTGACTTTGTGAAATAAGAGCTGCTTCATAAAAACGACTGTTTTAGGCTGAACTGGCTTCTTTCACACTGTCATGGGTATATTGAGTAATGTGTATGTTTATTCATATTATTATTCACGTCATATATTTATTCAAGAACACCCCTTTGTATTTGTCTCTACATCACATTCCAGAAGTGACGGATGCATCTCTTTCTTTCTTTCTGTTTCCCAGAGGGCCGAAGGTTCATCTCAGAGGACCGGAAAGAAGGAGACGTCTATGACACATTACACCTCGGTACAGCGGAGCTTCTGGTTCAAGTAGAGCACACGTGTGTCATGTATGATACGGTTCCATGGAGCCTGGATCCCCTTTGGCTCAGGATAATGACTGTGTGTGTGTGTATGTGTGTGTGTGTTCGCTGGCAGAGACCCGCAGTCAGAACACAGAGAGGCTGAGCGTGGACCAGGCCGCCACTGTCCTGCTCCACTTCCTGCAGCAGGCGAGAGAGGGAGGTGAGAGCAGCATCATCTACTCACAGCGCTGAGCTTTGGGTTCACTAAGGGGCGGACACAAGGAATGCTTTGCATTAATATTAATATTGTCTTTTTTTTTTTTTTGAAGAAAACAAATTGAAATTCAACTTTAATTATTCAGACCCTACATCCTATAATCACAGCTGTATCTGGACAATACTGTACAGTATTTGTATCTTGATGGAAAAAAGACAATGTTGATTCTGGTGTTTATATTCACATCAGAAAACATATAAACATATAACATCAAAATATATCTTTCTTTGTGAGCGCAACCTGTCTGTAGCCTGTGAGGCGAAACCAACAGCATTTAAAAGTGAAGGAAACACATCTGGTTTTAAATTGACATGTATCATCATCACTCTGACCATGACATCATCACCATCATCACTCTGACCATGACATCATCACCATCGTCACTCTGACCATGACATCATCACCATCATCACTCTGACCATGACATCATCACCATCGTCACTCTGACCGACTGTTCACAAAGATAGAAGCTCTCTGATATCTAACGTAAGGATCTTTTCAATGCTTTCAAAGTAACTGGGGATACAATATAACGAGTGTTATATTTTATATTATATTATATTATATACACAGTTGTGTGAAAAAGTGTTTGCCCCCTTCCTGATTTCTGATTGTTTTTGTTTGTCACACTTAAATGTTTCAGATCATCAAACTAATTTAAATATTAGACAAAGATAACACAAGTAAACACAAAATGCAGT